TATACAAAAGAGTCAGCGAAAAGAATCAGCAAGAGACACAGTCTATGAGAGAGTGTCTCTATGAGAGACTGTCTCAGCCAGTTTCAGTAAAATGCTATTTATCCATGAGAGAGGCAAAGAGGCATTATATATATATATATATATATATATATATATATATATATATATATATATATATATATATATATATATATATATATATATATATATATATATATATATATATATATATATATATATACAGGCCTCTGGTGAGTTCGATCTGTCGCTTTGTATTCCTGTTTTTATCCATATATGCCTAGCCTAGGCTACACAAAACGAAATCTGTTTTCTATTTCTACAGTCTGTATTGCCTTTTCTCACCCTTGCCTATAGGGATATATAGATCTGCTATTGCATGCTCTCTTTCTTTCCTCTCCAACTCTTCCCTACCCACAGACCCCATGCAGGGCTATGTAACTAATTAGTAAAATAAGTAAAAATGTATTAACCTTTATTAGGCTAATAATAGATAGCATTTGTATAGCGCATATCCCCGCTCAACAGCAGGCTCTAAGCGCTTTACACTATATTATTACCCCAGCAGACCATAGAACACTCCGAAACATTCTCAGCTTCCCGGGAAGGCTATCTTAAATTAAACTGCTTATGTTGTAAGCTAGATATCTAGATCAACGCATGTAGATCTAGATCTATTTAGGCTAAGGCAGGCATATTTTTATTATGGAAACCTATAGATCTAGAATCTAGATCTAGAGTCTTGATGACTTTTTTTTTCTTATGTAACTACTGACACTGTCGACTAGATAATTAGATCTCTAGAATCTAGATCTAGATCTAGATCTAGATCTAGATAATCTAGATGTAGATCATTCTAGATCTAGTTTTCGGTCTACATTATCAAAACATGTTTTGGTTTTATGCTAGATCGACATTATTTTATAACTTGGCCTAGATCTAGAATTCAATTATAAAATCTGTTGTCCTGTTTTCATCAACATGTGTAACCTTTTCTGTAGACCAGAAGAGTATAGAATTGTAATTGTAGAGGCATTGTTTACAAATGCAACCTTGGCCAGTTCTCTGATTGCGCTAGGCCTAAGCTGCAGAAAGCTAGGCCTAGGCCCCGCTAGACGCGACGCGCTTCGTTTCGATAAGGCCTAGGCTAGACGCGACGCGCTTCGCTGTCGATACCGCGCCTGGTTATTTTTAGCTCGCGTCTCAGCGGTCACGTTCGCAAATGCACTGTTGTCACGGACCGCGAGACCTCGTTTCCTGTCTCTATATTTTAGTGTCTCTGGTGTCACGCACACTTTCGCCTGCCGCCACGCACACTTTCGCCTTGCCGCCATAGCTGGCTTTTTGCGTGAAACGTACTCTCGGACGGGGAAAAGGAGAACGAATATTATAGCACAATAGCGACCGGCTAAAACGGAGTCATGTACCGCGGCTAGGGTTCAATGAAGCCTGTTTTGGCTTCATCACTCCCTACGCAGATTAATTTACGACCGTTTACCAAATGTTTACTACCTTCAAGGCGCATTTACTACCATTTACGACCTTTACGGCCAGAGCGCCGAATTTACGACTTTTTTACGACTTTACGACTTTGCTGGACACCCCGAGAAGAAGAAGAAGAAGAAGAAGAAGAAGAAGAAGAAGAAGAAGAAGAAGAAGGAGACGGAGAAGGAGAAGGAGAAGGAGAAGAAGAAGATGAAGAAGAAGAAGAAGGAGAAGGAGAAGGAGAACCTCACTGAGACATAACAATAGCTGATAGCCTCCATTTTATTACATTTTCAATACCACAATTATTAGTATCATAATCATTATAATTATTATCATTATTTTTATTATTATTATTCGAATCTTTCTTCTAACGAGAGAAGAAAACTCGTTTGTCACGGAAAAGAGGTTAGTAGGTTTAGGTTTATTGTTCTGTCCAAAACAATAGTCGGCTAACATCCAAACACAATTTGCCTTCAGGCAGGATCTTTGCTGCAGGTAAAGGAAGTTTTTACAAATGTTCTGCAGCGAAGCGTGTCGAAGTTGATCAAAATCAAACCCACATAATATTATTCTACCAGTGTTGGTTGACTTAGATCTAGATATCTATATTCTTCTGAGAACATCTTCTTAGACTAAACTAAGGCACTAAGGCGCATCGTTTTACACTTTGACTTTTTTACTCAGACTGAGACTGAACTCCGGTGGAGTGCAACACTGTCACTTGCACTTTTTTGCTGCAGGCCAGCCGCTACTTGTGCCACAAGGATTTGCTTCTTGTGCTGTGCTATTTTGAGGAATTAAAACTTGCATCGACGCTTCAAGTAAGCACAACGTCCTTATTCATGCGAGAATCTATATTTAGGCCACCTCTATTCTCACCCGGAGTGAGAATAGTGCAGGCGAGTCTTGTGGCTATTCTCACCCAGTGCGCGTTCACCAAATTTTGCGTTCACCCTAAACCACAGAATTCTACACTGTGATAACAGAAAAATTGTAGAATTCCGTGCCGTGAACAAACGTTCCATTACAACTGTAGCCTACTAAAAACGTACAATTTTGTCTGTGGGCAGTGGAGAGAGAGAGAAAAAGAGAGAGAGGAGTAGCGCGAGAATTTCCGGGCGAAACAAAATGGCGACCCGCGTAGTTCGACTTGATTCGAAAAGTTAAATAGCCGTAGCATCTTTGTAGACAACCAAATTAATTTACTTTTGTGTTTTAACATCATTTATTAACTTTGTTTTGGTCAATTTGATCGTCCACACCGATAGACAGTATTCAGAAAGAGACAGAGAGAGAGAGAAGAGGGGAGGAGTTGATCTTGCGAGAACTTCCAGGCGGGTGAGAATAGCCACTTTCATCTATTTACTAGAATCTAAGTGAGTACCGAATCGAATATAGACAAAAATTATATTCATGAACGGACTCTGAATTGAGTCCAGCGAGACATCCATTCAGACTTACGACCCTTGTTCCTAATAAACACTAGATCTATTTTATTTCCCCCATTTAGGACACATTTTGAGATATTAATGATTACAATCGAGACGTGAGCTTTAAGTTTAATATCCAGGTACGAGCTAGATCAATATCTACATCTGGACCTCCCTGCGTCATTACATTTTAGAGGTATGAACAGAACAACCAAATTGAGTTGACCTTGCCGGGGGCAAAGTTAATTATGTTGACCAATGAGATTGCGTGTAGCGATCACGTACTCTCGACTTGCTGGGGGAAGAGGAGTTGGTAAGAGGCCACTGCTGTCAGTTTTGTGTGTGATGTGATTTAAAATAAAACAGTAGAAAAAAACAACCTTATATAACACAACAAAATGAAATTAAATATGTGGAAAGGCAAATGGTGGTGGAAGAAATGATGATGCAGTAGTGGTGGTGAAAAGACCCTGAGAGTTGTTGTCGGTTACCGTGTATTTAGACACTGTCATCCGGCAATGAAAAACTACAGTACTTTTGACGCAGTACTTAATTAATGCAGTCCTAGTAGTAGGTAGCGTAAACGCGGGCGAGTCGTGACGAGGGAAACCCAAGAGTCTTGGGGGAAACCCCAGAAGACGGCAAAAATAGGTGGCGGAAATACGTTTTTCTGTATATGGGCCAGTCGCAGAGATATAGCTAAATGCTCGCTGTAGCCCCATGTGTCTTTTTCTCGACATAGTATGCAGTAAGATGGTGTAATTGTAATTCACCATTCATGACTTTTCAAATTTTGAATAGGGGAAGGGGAATCGTTGCGACAGAAGTTACTCTTAAAATTTCTTTCATGGAAAAACATGGGTTTCTAAAGTCTTTTATTTTCACTACAGTCTTAGATTAGATTCTGTAAAGTCAAAGCAAAATTCTTTTTCATTTTTATTGGTTTTACTCAACTTGAATATAATATATATATTGACTTTCTGTTAGTCGCAAATTTATAGTTTTTGAAACATTTGATGGTTTCTATTCAAACTGTATCTCATTAAAATAAAAAAAGCCTAATTGCATAGCTCTCGTGGCCGAGGTAAGGTGTTTATCTTTCATTCAAAGGTCCTGGGTTCGAATCCGGGCAGATACTGAAAAATTTGTATCCTTTCACCACTCTTCTTGCTCTCTAGCAATGTTCTGTCGTCTGCTTTCGTCTCCACTTTCTGCTCCCACCCCCTTACCTCCTTTGCCCCGCCCTCCTCTTGGCTTCTGACTCTTTCTGCAGCCTCTCAACTGCTACTCCTTGGCTCCTTCTTACTGCTGTCTTTCAGCCACACCCCAGATCTTCTGGTAAGAAAGATCCACACTTTACCTTCTTGGACAAGGGCGAAAAATCTCGAAGGTCCCATCATGTGCAAGTTGCGAATGTTAAAAATCCCTTGGTGGTCTAAAATCGAAAAAGAGTAGGCTTCGGCTGCCACCTGGGCAGAATTCAAAATTTACTACCAACTGAAAATGTTTAATGTGTCCTGCTCGCTCGTATGACCTTATATATGCAGTGGCGAGCGCTGTAAAACACTCACAAAAAAACAAACAAAAAGCAATAGTACAATTTACACATTCTGGACCAATCGGGGGTGAGGAGGGCAAAAGGAAAAAAAAGAAAAAGGTGGGGGGATACACTGGGCAGCATGCTCTCCTGTTTTTCCCCATAATTTGATGTTTGTAATTAAGTTTGAAAATTTCTTGAAAATAATTTGTCTGCGACAGTTTTAGTGGTCATATCATGCTGCTTGATCTGCAGCAAGAATTTTAGCATTTTGACCCTGAAAGCAGTGTATCTGTGTGGGGGAGTGAAAGTAAAACTTAACCAAACACATCAGCTGTACTTCGAGAGTCAAATATAGCCCTTGCTTGAACTTTTCTATTCATGAGGTGGCTAGTAGGTAGCGTAAACATGGCCTTACGGGCACTCGCGGCCTTCCGAGTGCATGGTTTCAGTGAAATCGGGGTAATTCAGATCACTGTTTCTTTGCTCTTTCGCTATAACACACCACATGCTGTACACCTTGTAACAGTTCAGCTTTTCCTTGTTACAATGGTGTAAGTTGTTTATATGTCCAATTATTAGGGGCTGGAGAATCGCTGTGGAAAGCGAAACCTCTCGCGGTGGAATGCATGGTCGGCCGGTTAAAAAAACAACACGCCTGCATTTGAATGCTTTGTGGAAGGATTGATGATTAAATACTGTCTTTTCATTGGCGGAGAACTGTAGAGCTTTGAAAGGGCTTTGCCGTGGTGTATTTTTGGCCTTTGGCGTTTAAATAGAAAGCCTTTAAAAATACTGACAAAGTTTTCATATCATTTGTTATAACCAAATATGTAAAATACCGGCTCAAAAAAGGTACCAATAGAAAGATCAGTTCATTTTATATTAGAATAAAGTAATCGTCTTGGAATTATTTTTCATCAATCCTTCCGCGAAAATCGGAAAGCATGTGACCCCCCACGTGGGGAGGGCTCGGTACTCTTATAGTAATTAAGAAAACACTTGGAGGATGGCTTACGTTTGGTGGACTGCACCTTCAGCACTTTGGTTACGAAAACTTATAGTATTCGACAGCGGAGGGTGGATGGGAGGTGGGGGGG